TAAACAAATCTTAGATGGAAAAATAAAAACAAAACAAAACTTTGGATCCAATTTCTAAATTGTCCTTAAGTAGTCACTTTAGCCAAGCACATAAACAATTTGTTGATTTAATATATGTTAATGAAATATACTTCCTTCATTAGAAAACTGTTGCAAATTATAAAGTTTTACACTTTTTTTTCTTATGTACTATGTATGTATCTAATTTCGTAATAAAAAAACATTCAAACGAAAAGATGTAATTAGTGTAAAAGTTATATTTCAACAAGTATATTAGTGTAAAAGTTATATTTCATTCTAACCCTACACCTTTACCCAATTTATATTACTCCCTCTATTTCAAAGTAATTATATAGTTTGAGAAATACAAGCAACAATAATATAGTCGGGATTCAATCACTAGCATCAAATTACCATTCTTAAAAATATTTCTGACTGAAATAAATGCTGATGAACATTAAAAAAGACTACCACATTCTAAGATCACATTAACTATAATGAGTAATTGAACATGTGTATCGATTGCTTCGTCCTTGATCTACTGTAATCTAGGCAATATATAAAAATATGCATGGACTGTCTCGACAAAAGCTTAATATAAAGAGCTTATCTTTAGCTATCATTTTGACTTTATAATGTATTGGTATGTAGCAGGTTACCTTGTCTGCCATCACCTCACTTTAATAATTTAGTTAATAAGTTAAATGCGTGCCATAATATATTTTAATTATACTAATTGTTTGTCTATCATAATTGTTATGTTCATGCATTTGCGTTAAAATATATCTACCACATTAATAACTAATTAATCATGTAATAACGCTAATAAGTTAGTGTTGGAATGGTCGGTATTAAAAAAAAAAAAAAAAATTGGATTATTGTTTTGTTTTACTATAACAAAAGTTTGATTTAATTAGGTAACGTTAATTTATAAGTTATACTCCATGCATGAAATGATCATGTTTAAGCCACTCCACTGTAACACTAGTTAATTGTTACTTTTAAGAATTTTATATTTAAGTAATAATGACTCAAATGATTAATTATGGGGAAAATACAAGTAAATCTGCCAGATAAATGAATTTTTGTTAATCTGGTGATATTTTTGTAAATATATTAAAAAAAAACAGGGTCATTTATTCAGTACTTTTGGTGAGCTGTCCAATTACTGTTTGCCTTTTGCTTTTACTTTTGGTGAGGAAATTACATATGTACCCCTCAACTAGTACATGTAAAGACGCATATACCCCTCTACTAGTACTTAAAAAGACAATTATACCCCCAGATAAACAAATTTTGTTTTGTTTATCTGGGGAATTGACTGGGTATTGCTGTTAAGGTCATCTAGTTTTTCCTACTCCAATAATGAACACAAATGACAAGTTAAAGTCTCTCAGGAAAAAAATAGATATACAAGACATATATACATGCCACACATCCACACACTCATAAAAATGATGAGAGCGAAAGTGTTAATTCGAGTAGTTGGGTCAGGTTCGACGGTATCAAATCGAGTCAAGTCTAATTCAAATTTGAGCCATGTAAGTTAAAATTTGAGTCGGATTTTATTTAGGTTAGTTAGTTTTGAATTGGATTGACTAGTTCAATTTTTGAACACCTCAGCTCATAGAACATAACGTTACGTATGTACCTAAGAATATACTGTAAGGTTAGAATTAAATCAAGCGTTGAAAAGCTGTACAGTACTATAGTAAGGAATAATGGGGCAAAAGTCAGAGGCACCTAACTCTAGTTTTTATTGAGGTTAGCAGAGAAGTTGATAAAAGGACGAAGTGGTGGGCAACGCCTAAAAAGTCCTACTCCTACATACCATGCATATTTTACAGGACATGCATTATAAATAAATGTATTGTACATTTGTTGATGATCATCACTGTACTATAGTTTATAATGAATAATAAGTATGTCTTAAACTATGTAGGAGGCTGACGCTCTATTGATGAGTATTGACTCTCTTTTTTTTCTATTAATGGCACGTATAGACTATAGATGTGGGCATTTTACACCTACTAAAGCAAAATTGTAACATATTGCATTCAATGCTTAAATTTTAGTTCTACAATTTTGTATATTTTTTTTTTATTAATCAAATATTTTAAGTTTTTTTTTTTTTTTTTTTAACCCCCCTTCTGAATACATATCTACAAGAAATTTATATATTTTGAAAGTTTATACCAAGACGAATATTACAAGATTCACTTGACTATCATGTATCAAAATGACAGTCAAACATATTTTAAACATATTTCAAGTATTATAGGAGCAAAATTGAGTAAATGGCTTTTCTATCTGAAGTGCTATATTTATAAGGGAGTTCAAACAATCTCTTGTATAAGAATATTGTCTAGCATCAAAGATTAATCAAACAACTTCATTTTAACCTACGAACATGATTGAAGTCATTATTAAATGATTAAAATATCATGAACAATCAAAGAATCTAAACTTGAGCTCACTTGTAGCCTAAGTAAAATGAATCTAATGAACACTAATTGAGAATAATTACTTTTTTGTTTTTAAATCATTATGAAATAGTACAAGTGGCCTTTGAGCCTATCCCAAAAATATTGTTAATGTTGGCCAACTCATCTCATCATAGCAAGTGAGGATGGGAAAGGTGGTAAATTTATGTCCCCCCATGCGCGCGCTAGAGACGGTAAAACGTTTTAACAATACTTGTATTTTGCATTATATTGTTTACTTGTATTATTATTTAAAGTATTGGCAAAAAAAAAAAAAAAAAGGTACTGGCATAAAACTTGTGATTAAACCAATTTATTACTATACTAGTATTTATTTAATCCTCTCTGATTTTCTTACTTGTTTATTTATTAGTTGTGTTTCTCATTATGTTTGTATTTTTGTTTTGTTTAATGGCAAATTAATCTACCTCTATTATCCTCTCTTAACCTAAAGTTTTCCACTAATAAATTCCATTTTCTTGATTTATGCTACAATAAATAAGAAGATCAAAGAAAAATAGTTGTAGTTGTAAAGTTAGCAAGTTAGTTAATCATCACAAGCTAGCTCATTTAAAAGGAAATTTTAAGAACAAAGAAGTGAAGAACTTAACACAACCTATTATTTTTTACAAAAATAAACAATGAATTTTCACTTTTTATCCCCTTTTTAGCATCAACTCTAGTCATCAACCAAGCAAAACTAACTCAATCAAATGGTGAAAACTTACATCACATGCGTGATCTTAAACTCATGAGATCAAGTCGTACTAGGAGCACTTTAAAAGTAATACTACGTATTATCTTACCTTAATCTCACTCTCAAAACGGCTTATGCAATTATGATGGGCAAGTTGTCTCTTAAATGTATGAGGTCGACCCAACCCTACTATATTAATACTATGAACCCTAACTATAAGATATAATGAGTTGACAATAATGAAGTGCTAAACAACTCAATCTGTCAAAATCTTAATCATAATGACTTAGATTAAGACAAATTCAAACAAAAAATACTCCTTAAAAGATTGGACATAATAAACCAAAGATACAACATATGTAGGTCCAAAAACAAGAAATTTGCTAACAGTTGAAATTCACATGTATTCACATGCCTTCTTTGTAAGCATGCAATCAATTGATATTTTGGACTTTGTCATAATTTTTGGTCTCTTCTATCACAATTTTTGAGAATGAGATATGTAATACAATGTAATGTTACCATGTGAAATTATTTTTGTCCTCAACGTATAATAACACTCAATGACCCTTTCCCATACTCCACCTATCAATTTCTTTGATATTTATGTTAGATTTGGATTGTGATGATCATGCAATGTTTTAATGGATTGGAACTTTAGCCTATGTAACAAGGTTTTTGTGTGTTGGTTGAGTACTAATTGTATTGGTTGGAAGTTAGGACAATGAAAGGGATAGCCGTCGAGTTTAATTATATAGATCGAAATTATGAGTATGTCATTGTAAGGTGAATCGTGGAAGGATAATGATAATTTTTTGGATCGACCAAACATTTTTGCATCATACTTGTATATGAAAGGGATCGGATTTATTGAAATAAGAAATATGCAATGACTAGGGATTATATATATGTGGGGAGCTATTATTGCTGCAAATTGCATTTGTAGCTAAAAGCAAGAACTAAATGTAAAGAAGAAATAGTCTGATATCACAAAAATAATGCAAGAAGTTAATGCACGATACATTGAGACCAATAGGAATATAGGATGCAGGTACTAATCATGCATACTTTTGCTTCATTTAATAATGAGGTAGTTTGATATTTAGTGTGATTAAACTGTATCAACAAAAAAACAATAATTTATCAATAATTAAACATTCAAATCAAATCACCATATTTCAAATGAATGTAACAATCTAATGATGTAAAATTTTGGTCTCTTGTTTAGATAGTCGATCTAATGATGTACTAATTCTTTACTTTGATTTTCTTTAAAGTAAAGATGTTAAATGGAATAAGCTCTTCAATATCCCCTAAAACCTTTATCTTGATCTATGAGATGGCCTGGCAAAATTTCAATTGGAACACTAAGCTTAACACGTACTATGTACTATCTCCGTTTCTGCGTTTTATATTATTTCCAACGATTAGACACTTTCTACTCACACTTAATGTCATATCGTTGTACATAATATGAAACAGAGGTGGTATTATTAGATGCTTAACTGTCTTACATTTTAACTAGTGTTGTGAAAATTGGTTCCCGATAATAAGGGGAACTATAATCATGAAATCATCAAATGAAAACGAAACATGAAAGCAGTTAGATTAGGTGCAAGTGTCGTAGAGTTTTCTTCACTGCACAATAAAATCATGATCATAAAAGGCAATGCAACAATAAGAGGCGATGCAAAGCTATACGTAACCAATGAACTACACGCATGGATAAGTTTGGGGTAGCAATGCATTGAATAATGACCCAACAAACACCATTTATTACCCAATAAATTAACTATGAATGTACTTTGTCTTTAATCATCTTGACCAAAATAAATAGGCAAACACCTTCCGTTTTAATCATCTTGACCAAAATAAATAGGCAAACACATTCAGTTTGTCCTTCACAATAATCGTGTTGCCTCATCAACATCTTTTCATATCTCAACTACGGAGTAATTGTTTTGAAAATCATTTTTTTTTTTTTGACTGAAATAAATATTTATTTGGTCTTTTAAAGGATTTGTTACATCTTAGAAAGATATAGAAGACCCTAATATGCCTGCAAAGTGAACTCCGAGCCCAGGGTAGAGCCTTTGATGCCCAAGTTAGTACACAAATAAGTTTGAAAAAGGCTAAACAACGAACGGGCTCGGGATGAACCAGAGAGGAATCCTCTGAGTGGTTCACAAACGAACCAGTTCGTTGCATAACCCTTATAAAAAAAAAAAACGGCTGCTGCGACATTTTATAGTACAATTTAAGTGAATTTCTGTGAGCAAAAATATAGGACACCTAGTCATCAAGCACTATTTTAGGGAGTTCAGAAAAGTTGTGGAATTCAGAACCAAATTTAGTGTTTCTGACAAAGTTATGCTCACATTCCTCTGTTGTGATTTGTGAGTTTCAACATTCTGCTGTCTCCAGTGTAGAGCACTACTGTCAATTTTATCATGGTTTTATACCCCAAATGAATTTCAGTATGACTAAAGCTAAGTCAGTCATCAAGCAAAGCTTAATCCCCCACCACTGAAAGTGTCCCACCTAAGTGCACATAGCATAGTGCATCCCCTATTGCATCCTTCACAGGTGTCAGCGCGTGAGGTGCACCAACACACCCATCACATGTGTCACCACATGACGCAAACACACCAACACTTGTGGTGCACGCGCCATTGTGCCAATAATTAGTTGTTTTATGCACCCAAGTGTACCATAGAATATTATTAAGGTTCGGGAATGTTTTTTTTTTTTTTTTTTTTTTTTTTTGTCAAAAAAAAAAAAGAAAAAAAATAGTTTGAGGAAATGAGATTTTCCATGAGTCTCATGAGTCATGACCATCTTCTGTCTCTCTGTTCATCCTACAACCCAAATAAAATCTATCCTCAACAGTCAAAGGCTCAAAACCCAACAACTTGGGCCAATAAAAGTGTTCTTGATGAAACACAATTAAGTGTAAGAGTGAAAATTGTCTTTGGGCCTAGTTTGTTATAATTGCATAGGCTTACTTTGGTTTCACTGTCCCTAAGGAACAATTGGAAATACAGTATCCTGGCTTCTACAATCAGAATCTTAGCTTCACTTAACCTATACTCTAAAACTGAAGAATCTGCATTCTCTGCAGTACTCTCACATTGAATCCCAAATCTGTGTTTAACAAGTTTTCTACAGAGCTACAATAAACTTTAGAAAGGAGTGAATCAATAACAATGGAACATCAAGAAGAACGAATCGGGAATAGGAAACATCAGTGGCTCTTCCTGTAGAAGAGTAATAAGAGAAAGTGCTAGCAGTTATTACAACACCACACCATACATTAGTCGAGCATCAATCACTCAAATGAGACTTAGGCAATGGTTGACCCGTCTTTATAGCAGTATTCTACAAGGCTTAGAATGAGCAATCCCTGTTAACAGCAGCAACTCCTCTCTTCGGAGCCCAACGCCTATGGCAAAGATAGTGTTTGAAAGACTTTGATAACCTCATGGCTTGTCAAATTCCAATGATGAATCAAAGGCTTTGTCAAAGTGAAGATGATTTCTCAAGAATAAATGCTTAGAGAACTTGAGATACAAGATGACTCTTGATTCTTGAATAGACAAGAGTTTTTTGAATGAGGGAGCAGACATGCTGAATAATTAGGGTATAAGAACCATTCTCAAATCTATCCTTTCAAATGCTTAGGTTACTCAGTCACTCCTAGTGCCCTCAGTAAGTTATTAACATAACAACGGTGGAGTATCGAAGTCCTATCTCTCAATACTTCCCAAGTCCTAACACAAAGTTACTCAATATGCTCTATACCTCCCAACACATTACAAGTATATTCATTGGACATTCATCAAAATCATAAAAGACACATAATGACATAAACTGTTCAGCATCATAATTTCCAAGTCAATATTACAGCTCATCCATCCAAATTCGCCAAGAATCCTAAAACAATATTTTGCTTGTCAATAAGTACCTTCCATCGATCAGTTCCCAATTACTTCTACATGTGATAGGTCCAAAATACAGTCCAGTAAGAGTGCCATTGCTTGATTTATGACATTCAAGCATTTATTCTAGCGAACATCCAATATTTAGCATGACAGTATTCCACAAAAATGCAGAACATTTTTCAATCAAGTAAAAGCTGAATCTGAGCTCCCAAAAGTTTAAGTGCTTCACTTATTGGAGTGCACTGAGAGGCAAGAAAAAAGACGATAAAATAAATACTGAAATTCAAAGACAATCAAGACTCAACTCACTCAAGAGTACGGAGCCAAACAAGAATGTAAACCGTTATACTTGATGCAAAGCTAAAACAAAAAAATATTCAAAAATATTGCTATTAAAGTAACACACTGGTCGGATTCTGCATCCGGAAACAGCTAATAATACTACACTGTATTTATTCCGCAATTTCCTACACAAAAATCAGGCCAGAGATACAGATATTGCTTTTATGCACATCAATGACCTGTTCAAGAATGAATGAGTGAACACTAGAGGCTTTAACACATTACATGAGATCAAGTTTGAGAGATACATGTGAATTAGTTCTAAGAACAGGGGCTTACACTGATGGAGCCTCCAAATCCTTGAACATGCAGCAGTTATCATGAAAGTCTCCCCCTTCATGTCAAGCCATCAAATTGATTTCGTGCAATCAGTCACAACCTCAAATATCGAGCAAAAATCTATTCTTGGATCGACCTCCATGATGCAATGATGGATAAACAATTGTTGTGGCCCATTGTGGAGCAATTTACATATGGACAAACTCATTAATGTAATAGTACACTCCCTGTTTCCAGGGGTCCCTCGAATTTCCGCAGCAGAAGTGATCTAACCTGTATAAGTCTCTTCGTTATCCCCCCAAAGAATACCAACTAAAAGACGCCTAATTCGTGAAAAAGACAACTAAGAATGATCTTGTAGTCCATAAACATTGCCAATCACTCCAATGATACCAACTACTGCAGCCACTACCAGCATGGTCCATGAGAAAAACTTCTCTCCGTGGGTCAAACTTTGCCCTTGCCCATCCAACCGTAATGCAATAAGACATGGAAATATGAAACCTAATGACACTGCTGTTGTTGCCCCCGTAAACTTGAATGCAGTCCAAATGCTAGGAATCATTGTAGAACCAAGATAAAGCAAGGCCAACAACACAGTAGTTAGGATGTAAAGCCTTTTCTTACTATCTGAAATAGATGAATCGGTAAAAATCAAGGCATTAACTGCTTCCCGTAGTGAGAAATGAATAACTGGGAAAACAAGAACTAAGTGGAGAATGTATCCTATCCTAATGATATAATTCAGGGCAGCACTGTAGGGGATTCCAAGATCTGTATCAAAATTGGTGAGAATATCAGATTCAGTGTTCTTCCCAAAAAGCAAATATCCAGAGAAGGCAGTGAAACCATAAACCACTACAGTAACAAGTGTTGTGATTCTTACTACACGATTCATCTTTTGTGGAGAACGCCCATCAAGCTCATTATAAATAGGCTGAACATTGAAGTGGCAAACATACGCATTCGTCATCACTGGGATCACCACAAGCAAATTCACAATCGCCTTATTAGAACTAATATCCGGTGTCATCCTAGGAGGATCAATCTTCCCTTCAACAACCTTAACAAGTGCAATGGAACACGTTACAACAACAAAGACCACAGCAAGAGCAACTGAAGCAGCTGAAGTCAAGCTCAAGGAGTCAATCTTCTCCAACGCACACAACGGTGCCAAAAAGACGAGCAAAACCACCAATATCACAAGCTTCCTCTGATCCCAAACCCCATTACCCATCATCTGATCAAAAACCCCAACATGATGATACGAACCCGACATCACATCACCAATTATAATCAAATAAACAACCAAAACCCCTGCATTGTTTATAATAATACAAATCTCGGACAAGATCCTCGCAGGACGGCCTAGGGCAAACTGGACAACCTCTCCATACGACAGTGCTTTCGAATGCACCGCAAATCTAACCAGCAATTCGACACTAATCTCCGACAAAATCCCTATAACAACTATCAAAACCATCCCTAAACCTAACCCCAGAACCCCCATTGCCGCCGGCAACGCCATAATCCCAGCACCAATAATCGAAGTAGTCAGATTAAAAACTGCACCAGGAACCCCAGACCCTTTACCAATACCACCGACAATTAAGGGGTAATTAGGGTAATTATCAAATTCAGAATCATCAATATCAACATTACTATCAACCACATTTGGTGGTTTTACATACCCATTACTAGTAATTGGTAAAAGAGATGATGTATCATGATTTTGCAATTGTAATTCCACAAATTTATCTCTAGGAACAGCTGAATAACCACTAGCCATTGTCTAATATATCAACAATAAACTAGCGATTATAATGAAAAAACTATATATATATTATATAATATGATTATTTAACAAAATTGAATGAATCAAACAATAAAGATTAGAACTTTAACGATTTTAAACTTACAGAATAACAGATCCAAGATGAATATCCTCAAAATCGTGAATTTGGGTTGATGGGATTTTTGAAGAAGAGGGAATTTGTAGAAGAAATAGAGGAATTTGGGCTAGATCTGAGAAGGGTCAACTGATTAAAATTGGGAAGATCGGAAAATGAAGAAGAAAGAATAGTATGAAAAATTGAAGAAAGAGAAATAGAGAAGATTTATGGACCGTCAGATTAGAATGAACACGGTTTATTAAATCATAAGCAAGTAGAGAGGAACTTTCTTTGTGAGCAAAGTCTGGTTAGTCTATCTGTCGGTAAGATGTCAAATTTAAGGGTCACTTTTTTTTTTTTTTTTTTTTTTTTATGAACTTGAAATTTAATAAAAAAAATTAAAGTAAAAAAATTGTGGAAGAGTTTAAAAGTAGAAGAATTACAGTAAAATATTAATTGGTTAGTTGATGGTCAGAAGGATAATGCTTAATACTACAATTTGGTGAGTTCAATATAGAATAGGACTTGGAGCCAAACTAATTTTTTAATACTCTATTACTTTTTTTTTTTTTTTTTTTGAAGGAAATACTCTAATACTTCGTACTTCGTACTTCATACTTAAAGATCTTCTCTTCTAATGCTGTGAATTATAATGGATTCATGTTAATGTACATAAACTTAATTTTAAATAGAGCTGGTGTATATCGAAAACATATTTACTCAAAAAAAAATACGGAGTGTATATACTTTAATACGGAGTATAATAAAAGTTGTCTAAATTTTTACTTGAATAATAAACAAATTAAGGCAAAAGCTAATGAGCAGAGAAATAAAGTGCAAATATTAGAGTAAAATTAACATTAATTACACCGAACGATGCGTGATTTTGTCATAATTACACCGAACGACGCATGATTTTGTCATAAATTCCTAACTTGATACCATTTCAACCAATATAATTTATCCTTATTTGACGCACCGAGACGCTCGTTAGCAAGATCGACAAATTAATTGTCCAAACTTATCAAGAATTATTTTGAGTGACACTTGATTATTTAGTGGGACACCAATTATATGGTTTCATGTTTCCAAAGCACGACAAAATCTGATTCATTTACTCCCTCTAATTAATTTATTATTTGTTTGATTTTTTAAGTACAACTTTCCATTCAATGTAATATTGCATTAAATAAGATGTAATTCGTATATATATCTTTAGTTATGTACGAGTATTATACTTACAAATTATAATACAAATTACTACGTATATAATTTGTGTCATACATGACTTATACAAATCTATAATTTGTGTAATACATGACTTATACAAATTATATATAATATATGTATTTGGAAACTTAACATTGAATAAGAATTAGACAATTTCTTACTGAATTTTATTTTGAATCATTGAAAAATCGTTGAAGTAGAAAAGTCCTCTTGAAATTAATGTTTTAATCTCTCCAACTTTAAATTATATTTATTGAAATAAGTCTAAGAAACTAGGTCCAATTATAATCAATTTTATTCGATTTTTTATCTAACAAAACTATGTGAATCAATAAACAATCAAATATATACTTTGTGTTGGTCAATATAGTCGTATCTGATAAGAGTATGTATTAGTTTTTAACAAGGAAAAAGCTAACGAGCAGCCTAGTCCAAGGGCTTTAAATAAGAGAACTAAAAGTGGATATATTAAAGTAAAATAAATATTAAGTATACCGATCGATGCGTAATTTTGACATGCATTCCAAACTTAATAATATTATTTTAAATTATAAATTAATTAGTTATCTAACTCTCCAAGGGCGCTCATTAGCAACTTTCTTTAAACAATACACATTATACATTCAAAATTGAAGTATTTTCCTTGCATACGAGTACCTCAATAATAAATTAATAACCGAGAAAACAAGTAAAGAGTAAAGTTATAGTATTCCATTAGTATATAATTTAACAAAACAAGCTAGCATGTATGTGTCTGTGATTTAATTCACATGCATAAGCTCATTATGTTGAAGCAAGCAATAGTCTAAACAGTATAGTTTTACTCAAACTTTTAACTTTGCTTCAACATAGTGTTTTTCTTACCACTTTGTGGCTTTTACTTGGTAAATTAGATTAAACCTTCTGTGCAATATAATCTCTATTGTTTATAATATTGATATCACTATTCACTAATCACTATTATTTAAATAACATGCACCATATTAGACAGAATTGTAGAACAAATGTTTAACTTAATTAACAATAGTGTTTCTAATGAATCATGCATATTTATTTTATTTTTTTACGCAAACTGGATGAAAGAGAAAGAGGGCATCAGCGATGGTGACAAACTGACAATGATTACTTGGTAAGGAATTGGTTTTTGAGGGGCATTAATGGTTTTTGCTTTGCAAAATGTGGAAGTGTTATTGAATTTGTTAAAGGTGTTCTTTACATAGCTACTACGTATTTAAAAGTTAAAGAATAGAAGGAAATATAAGAGTTCGGTTGCTAATTATGTTAATATTGTATATTTTGGAAAGTTTATCTTGTTTAGGAGTTTTAGGCAAGTTAGGTATTTTATTGTATTGGGTATATATTTGTGATTTTTTTTTTGAATAAAATATATTTGTGATTAATAGAATACAAAGTATGATAGAAAAGATACATAAATACTTAAATACATAATTGATTGAAATAAACATATAACAGACATAATAAAAGCACGAGTATGGTAACAATTGGAAAATTTCTAAAACAGTTGTTGTACAAAGTGATACAACGGGCCTCTCACGGGGGGATTAGGGTTTTTTTTTAAGGTTAATTTGTGAAGAAGGTCTTTTTAAGTAGACCTTTTTGTGACAAAGGCCCTTAAAAAAAAAAAAAAAAAAAAAAAAAAAAAAAAAAAAAAAAAAAAAAAAAAAAAAAAAAAAAAAAGTGGCACAAAAGTGTTGGGGATTTTACTTGATCGAACAAGGGTCACAAAAATAAAATTGGAATTGAACAACAATAAACCTTCGAGGCGTGAACGGAATCACTTTCCTAAAAGTAATATTTCGACCCGTAAACTACACACCGGGTTTCACGAAATTCACCTAGGAGATACAATGAAGAAACAATCATAATCATGTGTAGTGTAATTATGATTCAATGTGAACAAGTTTGTGTAAATTGTGATGATGAACCTTGAAAAATAATAGCCAAACCAAGAGAATGAAAGAAAAATGTCACGTCCAACCCCTTTCACTTTCTTGTTTTTTCATCATATACATTCATGTAGATAAATATAGAGCAAAACCAATTGTAACCAACCGTCACAATTAATTGAAGCAAAAAGTATTGTGTCCGATCGGCAAAACACCACTTCAATTTCTTGTCTTATCTCTAATCTTTTAACTCCCTAAATCAAATCATGATATAAATCACCAATACTCTAAATTTTTCAACAATCCACCTCCATTTAGAGTATTAAATAGACTCATTGCAAAAACATTATCATCACAAAAACAATCTTATGCATAAATGAAAGTGTACAAAGACTTGAACTCCCACTTAGTGCAATATACATTCCAAGAATCCGTATCCATTTGGTATCGTAAAACGTTTGAACCAAAAGTAATACATACTGGATACTTGAAGATATTACACACACAAGATTAAATACTTCAATCAGCCATATGTGTCCATATCTATTCATAAGCACATCAAAGCTATGCCCCAATCAATAGCTTCTTGAAGCGGCTAAACTTCGTACTTATATAGGTAGATCTCCTAAAACATGCTCCTGTGACAAAGTACAATACCCGGAAATCTATTAAGATAAACAACCTCTTTTCATCACTGTAAAACCGGAACTTTACTTTGGATGAATAAACATGTTCCCAATCATCAAATAAGAGAATTGATCTCATTGAACTAAAGACCCAACATCTTATTGGGCGTTAAGTTGAGATTTTCCTATTTGTGATTACAATGGAGCTTGAGATTTTCCTATTTGTGATTACAATGGAGCTCCAATCGTAAATAGATTGCCATCCACTTATTGTATTGTCTAGCTAAGGCCTTGTTAAAAATATTCACTAGATAATACTTTATTTGGTATAATTTGTAATTACCGTGCACTTTCTTTGACAAGTCTTTCTTGACTTAGCACTTTAAACATTGATATACCAGCAATAAGTTTCCTCATTCATTTTAATTTGGCCTCTTTACCGTTAACCTCCAATATTATTTTGGAGTTAACCATGCAAGTTTATAACTCAGAAGCCAAGACTTAATACCTCCCCAAAAAGGAACATCATTCCACTTGTGGACCAATAACTTGTGTCAAGTTGTTCCTTCTACTACCGAAGAACTTAATTCTTTTACTTAACATCCATCTAATTATTAGATGAATTTTTCAAGGATAATGTACTTTATCCTTCATTATACTAATTCGAAGTATAATCTTCATTGATTAAATTATACCCAAAGATAATTAACTTATCCTTCATTAAATTTTTCAAGCTCATTATGTTCTAGCTATAGTCTAAACAGTATAGTTTTACTCAAAGTTTTAGCTTTGCTTCAACATAGTGTTTTTCTTATACCACTCTGTGGCTTTCACTTGGTAAATTAGACTAATCAATTATTAAACCTTCTATGTAATCTCTATTGTTTATAATATTTACTTCCTATATCACTATTATGTAAATCACAAAATATGGTAAAAAAGATACGACAAATACTTAAATACATAATAAGCTGAAATAAACATATAGCAGACATAATATAAAGCAGATCAAGTATCATAACAATTGGAAAAATTTTGGTACAATTGTTGTACAAAGTGATACAACGGCCTCTCACAAAGGGCGGAAAATAGAGGGTGTTTTTGAAATTTGTTTTAAAAATTAAAAATCAATTTGCAATTTTGATGGGTTAAAAGAAGGATGTTGTACCACATGGCATATACAACGATTGAAGGCGATTTTTTCACGTAGAAATTGGGTTAAAAAAATTGTTTGACATATCCCTAATGGCTATATATAAAAGCTAAAATAAAAAATAAATAAATAAATAACACATTGCACCATTCTACCATGGTTTTGTCACATATTTTCAAATTTATACCATTTCAAGAAATGTGTCTATGTATTACTAAAACAAAGTATGTTGATGTCATCACTGTTCACATGCCACTTTTTAATAATTTTTTTTTTGACTAAATGCAAGGATGATTTCATTTGTTTTTTATGAAGCTACCATATTTAATATTAAAAATAATTGTATGTAAAAAATGGACAAAAAAAATAGTTTAAAAGTCCTGTTTTGCGTGCCAAGAAATGGCTAGGTTTGTGTATCA